GACCTCTGGGTGCGCAGACGTTTGAACGTTGAGGCGCTCCAGCCTCGGCTGCGCGGGGCAGGGCGCAGAGGAGGGCCCCTCGTGGCCCGGCGCCTCGGGCGCGCCCCGTGTGCCCTCGAGGAGCCCGCCCCCAGCCCGGCAAACTTCTGCGGCAAACTTCTGCTGTGGGGCGGAGCGGCGCGCTGCGGCCAAACCGGCCTAGCAAGGATATGGGCGCCCTTCCCAGGGCTTGGCATCGCTCGGACGTGTGCATTCGTCCTTCGGCGAGGACCATCGAGGAGCATCCTTGAACACTTGGTGAACAAAACCACGCACGAAACCGAAAACAGCTCAGGGAATGGACGTCCGAGCGATGGCCAGAGGGGTGCTCCCGCATCCTTCACCGAGCGCGTTCCACTACTCGCAAAGTGCCTGCTCGCAAGCGTCCTAAACACACACACACACACACACGCACACACGCACACACGCACACACGCACACACGCACACACGCGCACACGCGCACACGCGCACACGCACACGCACACGCACACGCACACGCACACGCACACGCACACGCACACGCACACGCACACGCACACGCACACGCACACGCACACGCACACGCACACGCACACACGCAAACACCGCACACACGCACACACGCACACACGCACACACGCACACACGCACACAATCACACACGCACACACGCACACACGCACACACGGCACACACGCTACACACGCACACACGCACACACGCACACACGCACCACACGCACACACGCACACACGCACACACGCACACACGCACACACACACAAACACACACACACACATACACACACACACATACACACAAACACACACACACACGCAAACACGCACACACGCACACACGCACACACGCACACACGCGCACATACATACACACACACGCACACATACACACACACACGCACACGCGCACACGCGCACACGCGAACACGCGCACACGCGCACACGCGCACACGCGCACACGCGCACACGCGCACACGCGCACAAGCGCACACGCGCACACGCGCACACGCGCACACGCGCACACGCGCACACGCACACGCGCACACACGCACACACGCACACACGCGCACACGCACACGCGCACACACGCACACGCGCACACGCGCACACACGCACACACGCACACACGCACACACGCACACACGCACACACGCACACACGCACACACGCACACACGCACACACGCACACACGCACACACGAACACACGCACACACGCACACACGCACACACGCACACACGCACACACGCACACACGCACACACGCACACACGCACACACGCACACACGCAAACACGCACACACGCGCACACGCACACACGCACACACGCACACACGCACACACGCACACACGCACACACGCACACACGCACCCACGCACACACGCACACACGCACACACGCACACACGCACACACGCACACACGCACACACGCACACACGCACACACGCACACACGCACACACGCACACACGCACTCACGCACACACGCACACACGCACACACGCACACACGCACACACGCACACACGCACACACGCACACACGCACACACGCACATACGCACACACGCACACACACAACACACACAACACACACAACACACACACACACCAACACACACAACACACACACAACACACGACACACGCAACGCCACACGCACAGCGCACACGCGCACGCGCACCGGCGCACGCGCCCGCGCACGCGCCCCAAAACCCCACCCCCCCCCCCCCCCAAACCCGCACACGCACACGCACACGCACACGCACACGCACCACGCCAAACGCACAGCCACACGCATAAGACACGCAACCGCCACGCAACCACGCACACGCACACGCACACGCACCGCACACGCACACGCACCACGCACACGCACACGCACACGCACACGCACGCGCACGCGCACGCGCACGCGCACGCGCACGCGAACGCGCACGCGCACGCGCACGCGCACGCGCACGCGCACGCGCACGCGCACGCGCACGCGCATGCGCACGCGCACGCGCACGCGCACGCGCACGCGCACGCGCACGCGCACGCGCACGCGCACGCGCACGCGCACGCGAACGCGCACGCGCACGCGCACGCACACGCACACGCACACGCACACGCACACGCACACGCACACGCACACGCACGTCTGCTCTGGCGTGATTTCTCGCAGAACCTCCGCGGGGGATCCAGGCCATGTGCGAGCAGCTACTCTGCGAGTAGTGGAACGCGCTCGTCTAATCCTGGCCTCCTCGGCCCATCCTTGGCCGCTCTCGCTGGTCGGGCCCCGCTTGCGGAGCGTCGACGCGGCCTTCCAAGGTCAGCGCATCCTCATCGCGCATCCTCACTGCACGGGCTGCCTGTCTCCGCTCGCGTGGCGTGGCGTGCCGCCGGGGCCGCGCCCTCCGCGACACGCCGGGCCAGAGTTCGCGACCGTATTCGTGCCGAGCAGCCGCGCAGGACGAGGAGGGGATGGGAGGCGGCAGAGAGGGGCGTGATGACCAGGGGGGGGGGGGGCGGGGATGTCGTGGCGGGGGCCACGATGTCTCCCCAGATTTCATGGCGCCCCCTCTTCTTCGTTCAAACGTCCCCAGCCCCCCCCCCCCCCACGGGCTGGCCGGCCGCCATGATCTGCGCTCCACCGTGCCACCCCCTCTGTTGCACGCCCCCGAGGGGAGGTCCCCCTCTCTAGGACGCCCCCCTCTTGGACGCCCCCCCTCTTGGACGCCCCCCCAAGATCTAAGAGGAGGAGGAGGAGGATGGATGGATGGATGGATGGACCCGGCATTGCGCTGTGAGTCTGAAGACACTCACCCCTCGAGCTCACGAAACGAGAGTTCGGGGACACCTCTGAACAGTCGTGCGATCTCCTCGGACCGAACGAGGTCAGGCGTGTGGGCGCGCCGTGCAGCTGTGATCACCGTGGATCCGAGCCGAGCAGGACAGGAAACGATAAAACGCCCGCGGGCGGGGGGTGATACCCCTCTGGCCCCTGGGGGCCGAGCTCGACGGCGCGGAGAGCACCGAGCAGGCTCCCTGGACACCCCAGAGGCCCCGAGGAGGAAAAAAAACCAGGCCGAAGAAAAAGGGCCGACGGCGCGCCCTAGAGACCAGGGGCGGCGAGAGCGACTAAAGGGGCCTGGTGCTACCGCGAAGCTGCTGGACTCATGTCGTCACGTAGTGCTCTAATCGCCCATCTCTTTCCGTAGGATCCGCCACCCGTGTCAGCCCTTCTGGCCGTAGTGGATCTGGCGGTTCTTGTCTGTCAGTTTCTGGGCCATCGATTCCAGGTGGCCCGTCCCCATCTTCTGGCGGCCGCCCAGAACGTCGAGACAAGTCTCCCGAGGGCCGTCTGGGTTGACGCTCTTCAGTGTGATCTGGTCCGCGTTAGCGAACTGCTTCCTGGTGTACTGGTCGTTGTAGCGCGTGCGCATCCTGAGGTGGAAAGGAGCTCCGAGCCCGTTTCCGTGCAAACGAACTGCTGGTAGAAGGTACGCGGGAGCCCGTGCCCCTGCAGGGCCTCCTGCACCACGAAGGCCGACGGGTGCTTGAACTCGGCGTGAGCGAGGTACAAGTGTGGTGAGTTGGGGCTTCGCCTCGGGGAACTGCGCCGCCTCTGCGTACATCTTGCCCGCTTCCCAAACTGCGACGATCGAGGTAGCCGTGGGTGTGGTCACGATGCTGATCCATACCGAGTCCGCTAGGTCCCTGAGCGACTGGGCGTGCAGGCGCATCATCTTGGGGAGGATCGTGGCCGCCTGCTGCAGGTCGCGCGACTTCAGGGCACCCTCCAGGCGAAGCGTGATCGTGTCGTAGTCCCAGGTGTGCAACGCGTGGGCCTCGAAGTTGTCGCCCGCGTAGACAGAGCGGTGGTCTCGATCGTACAGTATGTTGAGGCGGCGACCTGCTCCCATGGGGGCCGAGCACTGGGCGGACGGGGCGTAGAAGAAGTCGATCCTGCGTGATCGTCCGTGCGTCCCTAAGTAAGTGTCCCCGCTGGCAAAGAGGGCGTCGTGGTCCGAGAGGAACCGTTGCCAAAGACGTCCAGGGAGGCCCTCCAGCTCCAGGAAGGTGCCCACGGCGCTGTCGACCTCGCTCCACAAGACGGGCACGAGCAGGGGCGAGGAGCCGAGATACGTCTCGTCCACGGAGTCGCCGAACTGAGGTCCGCCCCGCAGGAAGGCGTGCGACGATTGCCCACAGACTCCATCATGGTGCGTGCCCACGAGGTCATAGCCTGGGCCACCTGGCGGTATGAGTCGGACTCGGATGGCGCGGAAAAGGTGCCGAACCGAGAGGAGCACGTCCGAGGAGCGGCGCTGTCGCGCCGCAGCGGCCCGAGAGCGCCGCGGGCGGAGGGTAGGTCAGACGTAGGTGTGCCTGCAGAAACCGCCGATGTAGGAAGATGCGCCCCCCGAAGCTCTTGTTGGTCCAGCCGAAAGAGGGCTCCCAGTGGTAGTCGCGCAGAAAGAGGCTGTGGCGGCCGTCCAGTGTCGGGCGGCGTCTCATCCCAGGGAAGAGGATCTCGCCCATGTAGTGCGCGTGGGTGATCTCCTGCGCGCGGGCGCTGCCCGTCTGGTAGATAGGAATGTACTCGTAGAGCTTGGTGTGCTGAGCAGGTTGCGGCTCTCGCTCCTGAGTGCGTCCACGGGCGCGGCGCGCGCCTGTCGACGTGCAGGCGGCCGCCCGCGGCGAGAAGCCGACGGCCGCGAGCAAGAGGAGAGCCGCCATCATGGGCCTCTTGGGCCCCGAGGGCGAGTGGGCATCGCGCGCTGCTCCCCTGGCGGGCGATGGAAAGGGTGGGAGGGCCGCGTGTCCCGCGCCCTTCAGCCGTGGCGGCGGCTGGAGGAGGAGGAGGAGGAGGAGGAGGAGGAGGAGGACCCCCCCTCTTGGACGCCCCCCTCTCAGACGCCCCCGCGGGGAGGGGCGGAGGCGGTGGGTGGTCCCCGCCCCGGCCCCGGCCGCAGGTCACGTCGCCCGGCAGGAGGAGCCCCCCACGGCGGCGGCGGCCAGGGCCGGGCGGGACGTTCGAGCGGTTCTAGAGGAAGGACAAAATTCTAGGCCTTGTAGATTCGAAGAAAAACACATAAACATATGTTTGTTTGCGCTCCGCGCGGGTTTCTTGGATCCGCGCCTGGGCCCCCCTGGCGGCGCCTCCGGCGCCGCCCCTTTCGCGCGGAGCGCGCCAGGGAGGGGGCCCAGGTGCGGATCCAAGAAACCCGCGCGGAGCGCCAAAAGTTGATGAGTATGTGGTTTTCTCTTCTTCTGTATATGGGGTCCGAGTAGATGGGATCGGAGGATCGCGCCGCATCGCCGATGCATCGGCGATGCGGCTCGATGCGGAGCCCGATTTCCTTCACGTCGACGTCGCCGATGCATCGCCGACGTCGACGGTGCATCGCCGGCGCATCGCCGATGCATCGCCGATGCATCGCCGATGTATCGGCGATGCGGCGCGATCGGGATCCTCCGACCCCATCCTTATCGATCCCGTCTAGGAGGCCTCCAGCAGAACGAAAAACGGCATACACATAAACTTTTGGCGCTCCGCGCGGTTCTCTTAGATCTGCGCTGGGCCCCCCTCCTTGGCGCGCGGAGCGCCGCCGGGAGGCCCCAGCGCGGATCCAGGGAATCCGCGCGGAGCGCCCCCGCTCTGCTGTTCCGCTTTCCTACGTTTCATGTTATTACTTTCTTCTGACCGACGTGTAGTCGGGCGGGGCCAGGACAGGGATACATCGTTCCAGAGCGTTCCCGAAGGCTCTCAGAGAGTTTCGAAGCGCTCTCAGGGCGATCCCGGAAGGCTCTCGGGAGGCCGCGGCACCCGATACATCCTCCAGAGCCGCCAGATCTCAGAGATCCCCGATTGGTCCCTGTCCGATTTTGCCCTTGTTCCGGCTTCGTCTTAGACAGGGTAGGCTGGTTCTTTTCGTGTCGACGGTGCCGCGACCCAGGCACAGGCGTTTCAGGCTGAACGGCACCATTAGCACGATCCAGACGATATCGGAAGATCTGACGCGAGCCGGAAGCCGCGATCGTTCGAGGTTGAAGGATCCACGCAGTGTCAGAAACCACCGCGCATGTCGCTACGACACGAACCTGCCGTGAAGGTGTGGGGTAGTTTCTCTAATGTGTTGCGCCGCCAGGAGCGCTCTCGTCGCCACCAGCTGAATACGCCTTGAGATTCTGGCCCAGCCCCCCCCCGTGATAGAAGGTCCAGGGCGTGGAGATGAATACTCGACCCGCGAGCCAAACCTCCGGCGAGTGCAGCGAAAGCACTGCGGACTTTCTCGAATTCGCAGATTTTGGCCCGTGGGGCCCCTCTTGGGGTCCTCAGGCCGTCAGCAGACGGCTCAGGATGACATAGAACTGCCCCAGGGAATGGGTCCGGTCTTCTGGGGACCCCGTGTGTCAGGAAAGACGGAAGTACCACCACCAGCTGGGGTGGTGGCCGCTCCCTCCCCTCGAGTTGGTGGCATCTCCTTCCGGGCACTCTCTGGACGCATGCCCGGAACAAGGTGCCACCAGCTCGAGAGGGTGGGACAGCCCCCCCTAGCTGGTGGTAGTGGTACTTTTGTCTCTGGTAAGTGTGGGAAGAAACTACACCAGAGAAAAGCCCCAATCAGTGGATGGTTTGACATGGCAGCGATAAAAAGATCGATAAGGAGATCGACAGGGAACCCGGGAACCCCGAACCCACCGAAATCGACCTGGAACCCTCGATACCCCGAACCCTCCGAAATCAACACGTATATCCCAAACCCTTGATACCCACCCTCGTCGTCTTGGACCGTATCCCCTCGGGTATTTATATCTATTCATACATACACATACCTATATACACATTGATGGGCTTGTTTTCCACCACCACCACCACCACCACCACCATAAGTTGGAAGGGGGGAACAGGAGGAGGAGGAGGAGGAGGAGGAGGAGGAGGAGGAGGAGGAGGTGGAAGATGTGGAGGAGGAGGCGGACGAGGAGGTCGGGTAGGAGGAGGAGGAGGAGGAGGAGGAGGAGGACCCTCTCCCCCTCCAAGTTGCTGTGGTGGTGGTGAAGAACAGGCCCATCGCACATCTTGCCTGCCACGCGTAAGCCTTCCGCGCAGCCCCCGAGGCAGGAAGGGAGGGCGGTCGGAGGGGAGGGGCAGTGGGGGGGAGGGAGGAGGACGGAGCCCAGGACGGGCGGCAGGGGGCGGCCGTGCGCCCCCCCCCCCCCAAAAAAAAAAAAAAAACACGCGGCGGCACCCGACGGGCGGGCAGAGCCCCTCGCGGGCATGGGGGCGGAGGGGCCGGCCCCCCCCAGCGGCCAGGGCCCCCCCTGGCTCGCCCCCCCAGGCCAGCCGCAACTGGGGGAGCTGTGTTCCTTACCCCCTGGGGGGAGCCATCGATTTCAACGCCCCTCTCGAGAGATCGTCGATGCGATGGGTTCCCCCAGGGGGGGTAAGGACCACAGCTCCCCCAGTTATGGCTGGTCGGCCCCCCGGTCTCCGGCCTGCGCTGCCGAGTCTACTTTCTGCAGGAGGGGAAGAACACACGGACGCAATCCATCGTCATTCCCAGGGAGCGTGTGCGAAAATACTCGAAGTAGGGGGGGGGAAGACGAACGTCCAGAACATATGGAAGATTCTAGGGTGATCTTTTGATTCGTGTGTATTTGTTTGTGTGTGTGTGTCCCTGGGCCCCTTCATTTTTGTGAGCTTTGGGGGATTTCGACGCCGCTGGTGAATCTAAGCCGAGAAACGAATCCCTGCCTTCTGTGGCGGGCTTGTTTTCCACCGCCACCACCATAAGTAGGAGGGGGGGTGTCCTCCTCCTCCTCCTCCTCCTTCTCCCCCTCCTCCTATTATTCCTCCTCCTCCTCCACCTCCTTCCCCCCTTCAACTTATGGTGGTGGTGGTGGAAACAGGCCCGTCATTCTGCGCGAGTCCCTCTCCCCAGGAGACCGACCGACCTCTCCCTCACGGAGCCGGTCGTTTCCAGACGCGGCTCCATGTTGGTCCCGCCCTCGCGCGGCATCTCGGACGTGTCCCGGTCGCAGTCGCCCAGGCGGCTGGGCGGCAAGCGGGGATCATCGGGACGTTTCGTCTTCGTTCTCCATCCCGCCGTCGTCGTCCGTCTCCTCGTTGCCTTCGTCGTCGTGCGCCTCCAAGCGCGGCTCTGTGTCGGTCCTTTCCTGCGCAGCGTCGCTGACGCGCCTCCTGGTCGCAGAGGAGCCCGTGTGGGCCGGGCGGCCGCCGTGGATGGTTGTGCCCACTGGTCTGCGTCCCCCCGTGCCGTTCGTCGGGGCCGCGTCGTCGCTGCGGCCTGGCTCGGAGGGCTAGTCGGACGGAGGAGGAGAAGGAGGAGCAGTATCGTTACTCCCATCCTCCTCCTCCTCCTCCTCCTCCTCCTCCTCCTCCTCATCCTCCTCCTCATCCTCGTCCTCGTCCTCCTCCTCCTCCTCCTCCTCGTCCTCGTCCTCCTCCTCCTCCTGCTCCTCCTCCTCCTCCTGCTCCTCCTCCTCCTCCACGCCCTCCTCCTCCTCCTCCTCCTCCTCCTCCTCCTCCTCCTCTTCCTCCTCCTGCTTCTCCTCGTCCTTCTCCTCCTCCTCCTCATCCTCATCCTCATCCTTATCCCCTTCGAGACCCCCACCAAATTACCACCCCAGTTGGGGATACACCCCTCGAAGCCCGAAGGAACAACCTATATGCCCATCTAGGAGGGTGAGTCGGCCAGCGGGGCCCAGGCCACGCCGCTGGGGATGGGGATCTGTTAAACGATACTTAGAGGAGCAGGGCGAGGTGGACGAGGAAGAAGTTGGGGACGGAGATGGGGAGATCAGTGGTGTGGATGACGGAGGAAGCCGAGGAGAAAAAAGGGGCAGGGTGAGGACAGGGAGGACGGGGGGGGAGGCGAGGAGGAGTTGGAGGAGGAGGAGAAGCGGGGAGGAGGGGGAATTGGTTGAGACGGAGTCGGGGGCAGAAGTGTGGGAGAAGGGTGGTTCAAAGCAGAAATGACGAATGACGAAGGAGGAGGATGTCGTGGTAGTGGAGGATAGAGGAGATTGAGAGGGAACACGTAGTGGCGATCGGGGAGAACGACGTGTGGGTGAAGCGGGGGGGGCCGAGAGAAGGAAGGATGCAGGAGACAAGGAGGCAGGAGGGGTGAAGGAGGGGAGAAGTTTGAGGACGGGGATGGCGAGGGACAATCTTGGACGAGTAGAGGAAGGACGACCATGAGAAGGCGGAGGCAGCTGCAGAGGAGCCCAGGAGGAATGGCGGCGGGAGGAGCTGTGTCGGAACGGGGGGCGGGCGGAGGTGAGGGGCGCCAAGGCATGAGCCCGGCCTCGGGGGCGTTGCGGAGCACGCCAACGCTCAAAGATAGCCCCTGCGGACTGGTGTGGGCAGTCCTGTTGCCACCCCGACGGGCTCCCCTCCCGCGCACAGTCAAGAACACCCGAAGGAGGACGCGCGACTTTGCTCAGGGTACCCCTGCGTCCTCGCTCTTCCTTGCTCTTGCGTCCGTGGGGTTACCAGGCTCGAACGTATCCCTATCCCTAAGATTGACACGCCAAAAGGCGATGACAATCTTAGGGATCCGCCCTCAAAAAATAAGGGAATCCCTAAGATTGGCATCGTGATGAGGAGGTGCCCAGCATAGGGATAGGGAGATGTTCCAGGCTGGAAATGGGGTTTTCGTCGTCCGCCGCCCCAAGAATCCCAACTTCGGCTGCCAGGGGTCTTGCGTCCTTACTTCGCGTCCTTATTAGGGTCTTTGACCGTATCGCCTGGAGTGTGGGGGAGGGGCCGCGGCTCTCCCATCGACGCGTGGCCCGTCGCGGAGCGGTGGGCCGAGCTCTCGTCGTTGAGCGAGGCCCCGCCACCACTGGCCGAAGAGCGCGAGCCTCTCGTCTGCTCCTCTGCGGGGGTCGCGCAGCGACCAGTGCGCGGAGCGCGACCAACACCGCGCGAGAAGCGTGCGGCATATCGTCAGCCGCGCCGCTCGCAACGCCCTGGTCGCGGAGCGAGATCCCGCCACCCCTGATCGCACAGCGAAGTGTCCGCTGGGATGCGACGCAAGCACACGTTCCCTTGCAGGGGGGTGGCGTGTGGGTGGAGGCGAGGAGGGAGCCGCTTTGCCGGCGCAGCCGAGGTGGGTGTAGGGTGGTTTGGGCACGGGCATCGCGAGCGCGCACAGGAGCGGCCCCTCCCCGCAATCCTGCGGAGGGGGCGGGATGCGTGCGCGCGCTCCTGCGTGCCAGCTTTTCCCCCTCTTTTTCCCCCTCCCCCCCTCTCTCTCTCTCCCTCCCCGCTCCCTCTCTTTTTTTGTTCTCTCTCTCTCTCTCTCTCGCTCTTCCCTTCCCTCTCCCTCTCTCCCTCTCTCTGGCTCTCTCTCTCTCCCTCTCTCCGGCGTGGGCCGCGGGGGGGGGACTGAGAGCGGGGTCGTCGAGGGAGACCGAACTCCTTCCCCCACGGGAGCAAGCGCCCGTGCAGTGAGAGAGCAGTCGCACGCGCACGCTCTCCCGCTTCCTCTCTCTCCCTCGGCGGCGAGCGACAGAGGGGAAGCGAGGAGGAGGAGGCCTCCTCAGGAGGCGGCGGGACCCCCCAGAAGCCCTCGGGCCCTCCTCCGAGAAGGCCTCGGTGCCGTCGGGGGGGGGGAGGCCTTGGAGACTTCTCCGAGGGGCCCCAGGGGCTTCCGAGCCTTCCGAGAGGGCCTCCTCCTCCTCGAGGCTTTCCCCCCCCCCCCCCCCGAGCGCTCGCCGCCGGCTCCCGCCCTTCCTCCTTCCGCCGCAGCCCACGGGCTGTGCCGTGGGAGCCTCCCGCCGCCGTGGGCCTTGCAGGGCGGGAGCGCCGCCTCCGAGACACCGCGCCCTGCCCTGCTCTCCGGTCGTGGTCCCGAGCGGACCGCGCCGGAGGGGAGATTTTTTTGTTGCCGGCCCCTCTACAGTCAACTAGCCTAGTAAGGACGCGCGCCTTCATCTAGGATACCCTTGCGTCCTTGCCTCTGTGGCACGTCCTTTGCCGTTTTCACTGGTCGCCGCCGCCCCAAAAAATCCCAACTTCAGCCTCCAAGGGTCTTGCGTCCTTACCACGCGTCCTTAATCTACTTTTTGACGGTATCGGAGGTGGACAGACCTACCCTGACACGTCGATTGAGGAGTTGGCCGTTTTTTCGGTTCGCCAGAGGGCGTCGCGGCCGTCATTTCTGCGGGTCCCAGGCCCGTCCGTTTCGGTCCCAGGCCGTTTCAAGGGGAGGTTTATTGCACGGAGGTTTGTCCATCGCCGACTTTACGCGTGTGCAGCACCTCCCGCGCCCGGGCACGCGGGGTTCGCACGGTGGCGTTCTCTCGCGCTCTCCCTCGCTGTTCTCCATCTCTTTCGCACTCTCCTTTCTCTCTCTCTCTCTCACTCCCTCTCACCCCCTCTCTCTCTTCCACACGCGCACTCGAGTGACGCTTCCTGTCTCGCTCACGCCCCCTGGGAGGACAGGTCGGCAAGGTTGCCGTTGTCGTCGATGTTGTTGTCGGTGTTGTTGTTGATGATGTTGTTGGTGTTGGTGTTGGTGTTGGTGTTGGTGTTAGTGTTGTTGTTGATGTTGATGTTGATGTTCTTGTTGCTGTTGTTGAATTCTCATCCTGAAGAATAGTTAGTGTTGATCCCCCCTTACAGGTGCATATTGTTTGTTCTGAATCAAAGTGTGCCCCTCGACGCTCGCACCCTGTTTTTTGACAGGGAAAATCTTCCTGGGCAAACTGGGCCCTTGGCCAACAAGGGCTCCCGCCTGAGACTTCCTCCAAATTTACTCAGGACCCCCCCCATCCCGTCTGAGACTTCCTCCCAACTTACTCAGCAACGGCGCTCCCGCTTGCGACCTCACAATTTAGTCAGGACCCCCCCCCCCCTCCCGCCAGAGAAACCCTCACATGTTATCCAGGAATTGCGCTCTCGCCTGTGACTTCCATACAATGTATTAAGACATCGCGCTTTCGACGCTCAGCAAAAACGCTACGCCAAGGACGCCGTCACAATTTACGCAGGAATCACGCTCTCGCCATACTCAGGCATCCCGCTTGAATGTTCCACCCGCCCGACCCGCCCGTCAGGGGATCACCCGCCCGTCGTGGGCTCCCGCCCGAGACTTCTTTCAGGAATGGCGTTTTCGCGTAGAGCTTCCTCGAACGTTCACGCTCTTACCTTCCTGCTCCTCCTGCCTCTCCCTCCTCCCTCCTCTCCTCCCTTCTCTCCCCCTCCTCTCTTCCCTCATCCTTATGCCTCTCTGCCCTATCCCATCTCCCTCCTCTCCCTCCTCCCTTTTCCCTCCCCTCTCCTGCCTCCTCCCTCTTTTTTTTGTTTCTCTCTCTCTCTCTCTCTATCCCCTCTCTTTTTTTTGGTCTACCTCTCTTAAATGTTTTTTTGTTGTTCTCTTTCTCCTTCTCTCTCTCTCTCTCTCCCTCGTTCTCTTTCTGCCTCTAATCAACCGCCCCCTCTTGGCTCCTTCTCTCGTGGCGTTTTCCCTCTTCCTTCGTCCCTCCCCCTCCCCCCCCCTTCCTCCCACTCTCCCTCGTTCCCCCCTTCCTCTTTCTGGAGGGCCCACACCAATTCCAATGGCGGGCACATGTACGCCCACGAAGGACTGTCCGCCCGTTCAGGTTTGCCCGCCTGTCTAAGCCCGCCGCCCCCCGCAAAGAGAAATGATCCCCCCCAAATGGGGTGTGATCGAAGACAATGTGAGGAACTCGTTTTGAATGACACACGGGCAAGTAAGAGCGAACAGTCTTATAATGATTGTTGTTGTTGTTGTTGGTGGTGGTGGTGGTGGTGGTGGTGTTGGTGTTGGTGTTGTTGGTTTGGTGGTGATGATGTTATTGCGGTCGTTGAGCTCTCTTTGCTGAACAAGAATTATTGTTGATCCCCTTCCGGTAACATTTCTGCTGTTTCAATTGAAGTGTCCCTCCGGGGGCTCGCACCTTGTCTTTAGCATGGAAAGTCTTCCTCCTCAGACTGCGCCCTTGGCCCCCCCTGGTTTTCAACGACAGCTGCTCCTGCTGTATACTTTGTCACAATATATTGAAGAATCGCGCTCTCGCGCGGGACTTGTCAAATTTTCATACGAATCGCGCTCTCGCGTGGGATCCCTTCACGATTCTAGACGTTTCGCGTATCCCTACCAGCAGCTATTCGCTCGTAGCCCGTTTGCTGCGACCTTTGGACGGTGTTTGGCGTGCCCTGGTGCGCTTGCGATCAAAAAAAGTATCCCCACCCGCCCATCCAGAAACGATGTCCAGGCGAGTTGGGGTGATCAGGGAAGTGCGGGAGCAAAGAGGTGGACGGCCGAACCGTGCGCAGGAGGAAGGAGGAGAAGGAGGGGGATGGATGAATGCATGAGGGAGTGGGAGGAAGGAATCTGGACGTGATGATGATGATGAGGAGGAGGAGGAGGAGGAGGAAGAGGAAAAGGGGGAGGAGGTGGAGGAGGAGGTGAAGGTGGAGGACGAGGAAGTGAATCAGCAGGAGGACGCAGGAACAGGAAGGGAGGGCAAGCAAAATGGCTAGAGGTCTCTTGGATTATTCTCGGAGCCTCTTGGGATATCTCCTGGGCGTTTCTTGGAGGCCTCTTGGGACATCTTGGAAGTCTCGGCGGTCCTGGGGGGCTCTTGGACGTTTTGGGTGCCTGGGGGGGGGGCCCTTGGGGTCCTTTTGGGGGCCTCCTGGGCGCCTCTTGGGGCCATCTTGGAGCCATCTTGGAGCCATCTTGGAACCATCTTGGGCCTCTTGGGGCCTCTTGGGCGCCTCTTGGGGCCATCTTGGAGGGCATCGATCAAAGAAGGGGGAGCTTCAATTAGCTTCTTCCTTGGGAGCCCACACAATCACCCCTTGAGCCCCTCTTGGAGCGCTCTTGGAGCGCTCTTGAGCGATCTTGGGGCCGTCTTGGGAGTCTCTGGGACCTCTCTTGGGGCCCTCATGGGCCCTCTTGGAGCTGTCTGGAAGCCTCGGAAGGCCATCGGAAGCGAAAAGGCGAGAAAGCATACTTGATCGATTGCCCCTAGGTTTTCGAAAGACTACGGCTTCTTGGCGGCCTCCTGGGGGGGGTCCGTGGCCGCTCGGAGCCGTCTTGAAGCGGTGTTGGGGCCGTTTGGGTCATTTCGGGAGCCATCTTGACGCATTTCGGGATATCTTGGGCAATCTTGGAGGTCATCTTGGGCTCTCTGAGGCCCGCTTGGAACAATCTTTGACGCTCCAACGACCCGCGACTGCACCCCTCCAGGTCCAGGGGAGGGTGTAAGGGGGAGGGGTAAACCCCTGTCGGAAGGGGCAGAGGGAGAGGTGGACGAGGAAACGCCGTAAACCACCTACCCCCAGAGGGCTGGTTGGATTTATTCAAACGATGCGCCCTCGGCGCTCGGGAATCACGCTGTCGCTTTGGGCTTTCTCGCGATTTACTCGGGAATCGCTCATCTCTCGAGACCTCCTCGCGATTCATGCAGGGCCCACGCTTTAGCAACCCGCCTGCTCGACCTGGTCGCCTGGGCCCGCCTTCCCGACCTGCCCGCGATGGGTCTGCCCACCCGATCTGCCCGTCTGGTTTTACCAATTGTTTTCTGTTCCTTGCCCCCCCTCCGGCTAATTTCTCTTGTGTTCCATTCTTCTTCCTCCCCCTTCCTCCCGTCCTCTGCTCCCCTGTTTTAGGGGCTGCACTCGATGCACGTGGCAGGTAAGGAAGCTTCACAACCAAGGGTCTCGATCGAAGACGACGAGGCTGGGTGCCGAGGGCTTAGGATATACGTTTTGTCTTGATTTGCGCGTGAGCAGATAGGAGCGAACAGTCTTATAATGATTGTTGTTGTTGCTGCTGCTGTTGTTGTATTATGTTTACTGTGTGTCTTCAACGTTTCAATGATATTGTTTGCGCTTCTCCATCCCCCTGTCTCTCTCACACACTCTCTCTCTCTGTTTGTATCCCTGTCTCTCTCTCTCTCTCTGTCCTCTCTCTCTCTCTCTCTCTCCCTATCCCTTTCCTCTCTTTCTCTCTTTCTCCCTCTACGTCTCTCTAGCTCTCCCTCTCTCTCTCTCTCTGTCTCTCTCTTTCTCCCTCACTCTATCTCCTATCTCTCCCTTTTGCGGGACACTGCGTCTTCCTTGGTATGTTCCGTATGCTCTGCTCGCTCAATAGTCGAACCGGGTTTGCGCTGAGCCGGGTTAGTCCCCGCCCGATTTCGTCGCCGCCCCCCCTATCGCCGTCGTCGCCGACGTCGTCGCGCCGCGCCCCGAGGGTGCCCCGGAGCCTCTTGCAGAGCCTCCTGTTATACAGTCAACCATGATAGTAAGGATGGGGCAGCTTTCCAAGGCTACCCTTGCAGCCCTGCCCCTTCGGTTATTCGGCATCCTTCGGCATTCTGCTGCGCTCCGCACGGAAACGTCAACATGGCGCCCCAAGGCCCTTGCACCCTTACAGTCGGGGCCCTGCAGAAGGAACCCTTTTCGTTGGGGAGGGGCTCCGCGTTCCTTAAGTGTTTCGCAGCTTGCCTCAGGTTTTCCTTATGTTTTCGACGGGGAATCGAAGTTCAACCCATGGAAAAAAGGGGCCTCGTTCCTGATTTTGGGCTCCTTAGGTCAAGCCCCCGACTGTACCGCGCATCCTTACTGTCCTGGTCGAGTGTGCAGCCCCGCTGCCGCCGCCGCCGCCGCCGACGTTGCTCCGGAGGTGCTCCGTGCCGCGCGCGCAGTCGTACCGCCTGGTGCCCGCCGAGGGCGGCCGCGGCCTCGGCACTGCCGCCACGGGTCGCCCGCGCCGCGGGGGGGCAGGTCCCCGGCGTTAGCGCAGCCGCGTGCCGCCTGCCCGGGGGGCTCTCCCCGTGCTCGCCTCTGCATGCCCGCGCCGGGGCGCACTCGCCCTTCCCGTCGGGGAGCTGCGGGGGGGAGATCGGCCCGCAGGGGCGCGGGGAGGAGGAGAGGGTGGAGGTGCCGGAGGTGCAGTCGGCGGCGAGCGAGGGGGGGGGGGAAGGGAGAGGCGGAGGAGGCGGAGGAGGAGGAGGAGCGGAGGAGGAGGAGGAGGAGGAGGAGGAAGAGGGAGGGGGGAAGTGAGGAAGAGAGGGCCTTCTCAGAAGGCTCGGAAGTCCCCTGGCCTGCCGAGAAGTTGTCCATGCCTCCCCCGCAGGCGGGGAGAGCCCTGCAGAAGGCCAGAGACATTCTGAGAAGTCCCGCCGCCTTCCTGAGAAGGCGTTCTCTCCTTCTCATTTCCCCCCCTCCCTCGCTCCCGTTGCAGGGCAGGAGGTGCAGGAGGTGCATGTGCATGTGGATGAGGAGGTGGGGACGCGGGGAATGCAGGAGGAGGAGGAGGAGGAGGAGGAGGAGGAGGAGGAAGAGGAGGGGGAGGCCCCCACTCCTCGTCGGGCTCCTCCTTCCACCCTCCCGCCCTCCCCCTCTCCAGTCCTCCCTCCTCTCCCGGCTCCCTTCTCATCCGCTCGTCGTCTTTGTCCCGCTGCCGCCCCTCCTCCCCTCCTCGCCTCTACCGACGGCGACGACGACGGCGACCACGGCGGCATTTGTCCGACGACGCCCGGCGCCGGCGACGGCGGTCGCGGCCAGGAGCCGACGCCAGCACCGCGGTCCACCGACTCAAATGACGACGCCTCAGCGCGGAGGGCGCTGCGCTTCCTGGTGCCGATGCCAAGCACCTGCCCTGCCAGGAGGCGGCTGCGACGGTCACCGCCCGCCAGACCACCCCGACCCAACCCGGAGGCCGCGATCTGCCCTCCATTTCCAGGGGGCGGGGGTGCGGGAACATGGGAAAACACATACGCAGCCCGTACCCCCCCCAACCCAAAATTCGGGTCTTCGGGTTGGGTTGGGGTGGCCTGGCAGGCAGTCCGACGGCGCATTGCCGACGACCGCGGTGGCGGCGACGACGGGCCGCGCCTCGCGGCGGAGGGCGAGGGGCCTCCTCCGTCGCGCCGAGGCCCCGGCGCCTGGGAGCGGCTTGAGCCGCCGTCGCTGGCCGCGCGGGACCGGCCCTCGGAGCCAGTGGCGCCGCAGGCGCTGGCGCCAGGCCGGCCAGATGGGAGAGGCTCGGGGCTCGAGTCGGATGGGCCAGCTTTCCACCACCCTCAACACATGCAGGACGGGGGAGGAGGGAGGATGGGGAGGTCCTCCTCCTCCTCCTCCTCCTCCTCCTCCTCCCTCTTCTACACCTGGTAATGGTGGTGGGAAATCGGCCCATCAGAGTCGGTGGTTCAAAGATGGGGTCCTGCAATTCAGACAATGCAAGATTCAGACAATGAGGTCAAGATAAGATTCAGGACGAGATGCCTCAAACAATGCAGATTCAGCCTTGGACCCCTTCCAATCCTTAGCACCACATCTCTCAGGACCCCATCTTTGAACCACCGATCGAGGGTCGGCATGCGGGTGAGGCTCGAAGATGGAGCCGTCTCGGGGTTCAGAGTGGCCCAGCATTGGTTCCTGCCAGCAGGAGGGACAGGCGAGTCGGAGTTTCTGGGTTCGGGAAGGTTTCTCTTGTTTGTTTACCTTTTTCGGCCCCTGGGGGCCGTTTTCGCGCCCGTGGGCTGTCTGAAACGGATCCGGGGTGAAGAACCTGCACCAGATGGACTCTGGCCGAGCATTTTCTGTGGGTGGAGGGCAAAGGGACATGCTGCTTCGATGGATGTTCGAGGCTTGAATTTGCAAGAGGTGGCTCACAAGACGGATTGGTTTTCTAAGTGCAAAAGCCCATATGGATTTCACCCTGAGCCCTCCACCCTGAGAAAATGCTCAGTCTGAGAAGCGTCCGGGTACCGACTTTTTGAGCGGATTCGGCCTCATCCCCCCCTCTGGACCGAGCTTCTCTGGGGCCCCAGCCAGTTCGGACCCCCATGGCCGCCTCCAAGCTCGAGGGAGGCCTCATCGGGCGGGGCTAAAGAGGTTAAGTCGGGCGTGTTCCTCTACAGGGGGAAGTATGCAACAACAGTCAAAATATTGTCCAGGGACGATGCTCGAGTATTGTTGGGTATTGTTCGAACATGTTTGGGTTTTTTTTGGTCCCCGACATCCCCCTGTAGGAGGACCTGCCGGGCCTAATTACAGCCAGGGTCGGGGCCTTTGCCTCTCGGCGTGCCGCTGCGCCTGCTCGAGGCCCACCGCCCTTCTCGGGCTTGGCGCGCCGTGCACGTCCCCGTCCCCGAGCGTCAGCGTCTGGAGCTGTCGTACAGTCGGGGCGCGGAAGAAGGAACCCTTTTCGTTTGGGAGGGCTCCGTGTTTCTTGATTGCTTCACAGTTTGCCTTGGGTTTTGCCTCGGTTTTCGATGGGAAATCGAAGTCCAACTTGTGGATCTAAGGGGCCTCGTTCCTTATTTAGGGTTCCTGGGGTCAACGCCTCGGCTGTATACGAGGAGGTGCCCGTTGCGGTTTCGAGGTCGGGCGAGCTTGAGGCCGAGAGGGTCTGTCCCGCCGCCCCCTTCGGTCCCATGGAGCCCTCGGGGGTCCCCATCTCGTCTCCCACATGCGGCCCCGCCCGGGAGCTCCGTGGCCATCTTGCCTCAGAGATGTGCTCTCTCGCCGTGTGCCGTGATACCGTTTGAAAGGCCCCCTCTCGCCTATCCCCCTCCGTGTATACAGTCCGGTAGTGAGACGCCCAGTCCCCAAGCGTCAACGTCTGGAGTTGTTCCCGGCCTCTCGCCACACGGAGCGGAGAGACTCGCTAACCGTTTGCAGGGCGTAGCGCGTTGCTGGGGCCGCCGCGGCGTCATGCCACGCAAAGGGTCCCGACCGTACTCTCGGCGCGTTCTGGAGCGCTCTGGCACGGCCGCCTCGCACGGCACACCTTTCAGAACCATTGGATTTCAGAAATTCCCAGCCATCCTGTGGTGTTGGGTCCTCGCTGAGAAGAGGCGGTCCCCGCGCTCTCCTCCTTCCTTCCTCCTTCCTTCCTTCCTCCCTTCTCCTCCCCTCTCCTCCTCGTCCCGCTCATCCCTCATTTCGTGGCCCCATAAAGAGCTCCACCGAGGGCTCCAGTGGGGCCGCCCGCATGCGCCATCCACCACCCAGTACAGCATTTCGTGGCCCCATAAGGAGCTCCACCGAATGCTCCAGTGGGACCGCCCGCGTGCGTCATCCACCACCCAGTACAGCGCTTCGTGGCCCCATGAGGAGCTCCACCGAAGGCTTCAGTGGGACCGCCCGCATGCGTCATCCACCAACCAGTACAGTGCCCATAGGGAGCTCCACCGAAGGCCCCAGTGGGACCGCCCGCATGCATCACCCACCGCCCAGTACAGCGCTTCGTGGCCCAATACGGAGCTCCACCGAAGGCTCCAGTGGGACCGCCCGCATGCGTCATCCACCACCCAGCATTGCACTTCGTGGCCCCATGGGGAGCTCCACCGAAGGCTCCAGTGGGACCGCCCGCGTGCGTCGCCCACCATCCAGTACAGCGCTTCGTGGCCCCATAAGGAGCTCCACCGACGGCCCCAGTGGGACCGCCCGCATGCGTCATCCACCACCCAATACAGCGCTTCGTGGCCCCACAGGGGGCTCCACCGAAGGCCCCAGTGGGATCGCCCGCATGCGTCATCCACCGCCCAGTACAGCGTTTCGTGTCCCCACATGGAGCTCCACCTATGGTGTCCGTGGCGGAATTCGCATGGTGACCCAGTGGCGGAGTTCGCATGGCGGTGATTATCGATTTCTGGAGGTTTTTCGTCATACTCGACGTATTGAGGCCGCTTTCGGGCCGCGCATCCAGGGCGGGAGCCAGCCTGCTGGCTCTCTCTGCTCCGCGCAGCGGACGGCCCGCGCGCGTCGCCGGGACCCCTTCGGGGCGACCATCGCGCGTCGCGGGGACTCCGTGCGGCGCTGCGCCCGCAGCCTTGGACGTGGGCGCGCACGGGCAAAAAGGGAGAAGAAGAACGGGAAGGAAGCGGGCGCGATCCTCGTGAGAGGAGCGCCGACATGGGCGTCGACATGTATGCACGTAGATTCACGCGCGCGCGCAGACTCATCCAAAATCGGAGTCACTCGCTCTCAGTCTCTCGCACAAGAACCTATCGTCTTCGCTCACGTTGTGTGCTCCACCGCGCATGTTGGCACGCCCCTCACACGGTTCGTGGCCACATAGGGAGTGCAGGCGAAGATGATATTCATAATTGCGGTATTCACAGCTGCATATGGTTGGGACCTTCGCCAGGCTAATTTTTTCTTCCGTCACCGGCCAGATCTCGTCTCATTTGAGGTTCGAGGCACGAGGATGTCAAAGAAGAGTAGTCCACACGAGCGCACGATCTTTCGGAGGTCAGCGCGGATGTCTTGGATCCGCGCTGGTCCCCCCTGGCAGCGCCTCCATGAGTGCGCTCGCGTCAGATGCCGTTTATTTTTCTTCGGACCGCTTTCGGGTCGCAGGGCCATCAACGCATTGATCCGAAACGAGGCAACGCGCGCCAGGAATGGATCGAAACCCCCGGGCTCCGCGGGCCGGAAACAAGCACATTTTCGGATGTCTGGGATGGTCTTCCGCGGGCGCCGTCGTACGCCCGCGGGGGGCCGACCAATTTTTACGTTCCTCGCGACCTCCTTTTTTTTACGCTCCTCGCGATCGTTTGGGTCAAAGCGAGCTTGGTCAAAACGATTTCCAGGGAGTCTTCTGTGAACCGCCGATGCGGGGGTTCAGAGGTGGGGTCCCAGGGATGGGGCCCAGAGGATAGGAAGGCCCCCCAGATCAAATTTACACTCCTTCATGCCACTCGTCATCAGGGCTCCATCCC